AGAATGTGAATTATGCATACATTTCAGTTAAATAATTATTTCAAAAGATGATTTTCATCCTTTTTAAAAAATAAAATGTTCGGGTAAAAATGCAACAAGCTAATTTATTTCTTTATTTTATTTTAACTACTAAATCAAAAACCCAGAGAAGCTGTACTATGATGAAATCAACCAAACAATGCAAAACTTGAGAAACTATAAAAGTTCTCAAAACACATTTAGCCAAGTGCAACAAAAAATTTTTTTTTAAAAAGTTCCCACGAGTTTCGAATAAAATTAGACAATATGTCCACCTATCAGATGTTCTTGCAAACTAACTTTCTGATTGTGAGTCAACATTTCAGTTTCAGTGGTTGTACCATTAATAGTTCACCCAGAAATAAAAATTTACTGACAAGTTACTTATCCCAAGGCCATCCAAGTCAAGACGTAGATGACTTTGTCTCTTTATCGAAAATTATAATTACATTACTTGCATACCAATAGATCCTCTGCAGTGAATGGGTGCCGTCAGAATGGGAGTCCAAACCGCTCATAAAAACATACAATAATCCACAAGTAATCCACATGACTACAGTCCATCAATTAATGTTTTGTGAAGTTAAAAAGCTGTGTGCTCGTATGAAACAAATCCATCCATCATAAAGGTTTTTTAACTTCAAACTGTTGCTTCTGGCTAAAATACTGGCTAAAAGTCCACAATATCACTTATGCTCTACTACTCACTGCAGAGGATCCTCTGTGTGCAAGCAAATTATATGCCAAAACGTCTCCAAATCAAACTCATCTACATCTTGGAGGGTGAGTAAATTTTCAGCAAATTTTTCATTTTTAAGTGAACTATTCCTTTAAACATCCTCCTCAGTACAAAAAAAAGCATTCATGCAACCAAACTGCAAAAACGGTTTGTTTGGATGTTGTGGGATTTGTGATGTCGCACGGGCAAATACATGACTCCAATGCCATTTACACTGGATACAGTATACAAGTGCCCATTTAATTTCTGAAGTACTCCATGAATTCGGGCTATTCCCAAAAACAGACAAATGGAAGAATTAAAAAAACAAAGTTTTAACAGATCTTTTGTGTCAGTTCCCAGCATTGGGAACAAGTGGATGGTTTCTTTTGAATGGTGTCCCAGATCACGTCAGAGGACTATATGTTTGTTCGTAGCATTTGACTGAAGATTGTTTTGTAAATGAGGTACAGTGTAAGGGAGAGTTAGCAAATAAACTTTTATTGAAATATGGAGCAACCAACTATAGTGGATCTGTCAGCAGCTAATGCTTTATCTGGAAATGTCTGTTTTAAATAAATAATGTTTTCAAAATACTTGCTATATTTATATTTATTAACACTTACTATACTTATTATTGTGTAATGGGGCGGTGATACTTAAGTTAGAGAATCATAACAGTGGCTGTTTAATGACAATCCTCATTTCAGAATGAAAATCAACCATTTTTAAGAATATATAACTTTTATTGTGCATATGTAAAAACCTTTATTAACAGTACAAGTGAATCTCAAGGAACACATAAAAAAAACATTTTTTTTAAATGTGTCATGACCCCTTTAAAAAAATGCAGGTGGTGGAGTGTGCATAATATTGTGAGAAATGAATTACTGAACGTTTCTGGCATCTGGTGGTAAACTGGAATATAACAGGGAATGAAGCTGGACTGAGCAGATTTTTTAAGGTAAAGTGGGCATTTTTTCCATGTTAAAATAGCATAAGAAAGATATAAGATATAATATAAGACATTCATTAGCTGAATCTTGTGGCACTTCCAAAACACTGCACTATTTGAACATCCCAATTAGTACAACTTATAGCATGGGTTTGGAGGGGGACTGTCCATTTGTCTAAACAAAGGATGATAAGGGGACCATTCAATAATAATAATAATAATAATAATAAATGTTCTAACTCTGCGATTTCATTTAGTGACACTAGAGGTGCAGAAACTTAACCTTTCAGCAAATCAGTTTGAGCACAACTAAAGTTTGGTTGCCACATTTTAGTTGTAATGCTGGATTTGCGACAAAGGCCCTGTCCCAAATTGCACACTAAACCCTTGCGGTCTTCCTCTGAGTCCACACATTTTTGTGACATAATTCCGCTTTGTCAGTCAGGTGTATAAGTCTCAGAGCAGGTCTATCGCCTCAGTGTGGGCTCGGCAGAAGTGCGAGCACCCTTCTGAAAGCTAAAATGATGAATGGGACACCCTACAGTCTCATGGACTTAACGGAAATGCGCACGAGGCGGCCAATGTAAGTTTGCAAGAGCGCAAGTGCACATGAAGTGTGCCATTTGGGATAGGGCCAAACAGAGACTTCCTACTTCCGACCTCAGTGCATTCCAGTCAATCACAACACAAGATGACGCCATGACTCAAAAGTATTTGACTTTCTGTGAATTATGGCAAAATCGTGAATTAAAGGGGTCATATGATACTTTTTTAAAGATCATTATTTTGTGTATTTGGTGTAACAGAATATGTTGACATGCTTTAATGTTCAAAAAACACATTCGGCTGATCAACACTAACTACGGTTACTGAAATCACGCCTTCTTTCTTTGCGTGCACATTTGGGCGGCATTATGCTAATATTTCCACATAGTGAGGTAGATATGTGGGGGCGTGTTAGAACGAGCCGTTTTAGGGGGGCGTGGCAGAGTCTTAACTTTGATAAAGAATATCTCTTTGGATTTGAGACTTTAGTCTTTGCAACTTCAGGGATCTTATCTATGCACAATCAGCTTGTAACACTCCAAAGAGAAAGGAAAACTTGAAATCGCATCATATGACCCCTTTAAAAAAACATTAAGGCTCTCCCAAAATCTGTCATTCATTATTCAAAACTTATAAACTATCTAATATAATGCAATGCAGTTCCAGATGTTAACACTACATAGCTAACTGTCTACTAGGTAAAACTTTCAAAATAGGTGAAAACCTAGACATAAATTGATACATAAACAATTCTTAGTATATTTTTGTATATTGCACGTTCATTCAATTTGTGCTGCAAAAAAACATAAAAGTTCCTCATAACCTAGCTGCACACTCTGTTTGTTGGTCGCCGCTATTTTGGAAATTATGTCAAATGACTCATTCAGGTCAGGGTTGATCAAACTGCCCCGAGTTTACAAGTCGGATGTCCGACTTGGAGTGGTGTTATTTTCAAGTGAGAACAGGAAAAAAGTTCAGATTTTTTTAGAACATAGCTCATTTAAAGGGGTCCTATTATGCCATTTCACTTTTTCAACTTTAGTTAGTCTGTAATGCTGCTGTTTGAGGATAAAAAAAGATCTGCAAAGTTACAAAGCTCAAAGTGCACTTCAAAAGGAGATATTTTATTGAACAGAAATCACTTTTCAAAAACTACAACGAACGACTCGTTTGGACTACAACGCATATTTTCCGGGATTTGTGATATCGCAAATATCGACGAATGGGACGAGACCTGGTCGAGCTGCACTAGAGAAGGCAGCGAGTGTTATCACTATGTCGGAGACACGCTAGCTTTCCCAAGGCAGATGAACTTTGAGTGGTTACAATCATCCGGGTTTAAATCGAGCTCGAATTGGTTTGATTTTAACGCAATATTTACACTGAAGCTCGCAGGCGGCTATGGTTAGGGCAGTGACAGTGCTACACTGGGGCTAGGGGGGGCTATAGCCCCGTCAGAATTTTTAATATCCCCGGTTTGGCCCCATTTCTTTATGAAGTAACTCTGACGTCATCAATATAATTTATTTTCTTAGCACCCCCACATATTGGTCTAGCCCCCCCTTAGCACCGGTAGAGAAAAAATTCTGGCGCCGTGCCTGGGTAAGGGGCGTGGCATTTCCCGACCAGGTGCCGAGTGCTGCCAATCACAGCACACACTGGCCCAGCTAACCAATCACAACACATTTCATATTTCAGAAGGCGGGCCTTCATTTGATACAGGAACTATTCGAGCCGTTCATGCCAGACTGGGGAGAGAGGTGTTGTAATAATGTAAAATATGTGAAGAATAATGTGTTTTTCGAATAACCTAGTATGAGGTCTAGTACACCCCCAAAACAAAATCAAGACTCTGTGAAAGAGCATAATAGGACCCCTTTAATAAAGCTTCTATCATTTAAAAAAAAAATGCTTGCTTTACTAACATTTTTTTTAAAGTGTATGTGTTTTAAAAGTATTAGTTTCTTATAGTTCATGCTTCTATTGTCCTCATTTGTAAGTCGCTTTGGATAAAAGTGTCTGCTAAATGATTAAATGTAAATATCACATATGAATCTATAATTTGAATATAAATATAAAATGTAATATAAATATCACATATGAATTCGTGTATTATGTAAGCTGATTTGACTTGGAGTGTGTGTGCACCTGTGTACATTAGATAGAGATCAAAGAAAACATCAAAGAAAAATTCGAACTTTCAAATCGCACTTCTTTGTTTTGTTTTTTTATTACAGAAGCCTTAGAACTTTTGGAATTGAACATTTTGGACATCATAGGTGCTAAGTGAACGTTTATTAACAATTGAATGTTTAGGGCATCAGAGGCATGTGTATGTCAAGCTTTTGAACTGAACATGATCACATATAATAGATGCATCTAAACGCCGGAATTTAGAACGCGACTTTATAGACCAAAGCTACTACACGCGCCTATGATGCCCCAAAATGCAGCCTAGCTAGAAAGCTCAGTAGATTTTGAGATACAGCCAGAGTGAGTAACGTTATAGTGACTGCAGCAGGATTTAATCTGCAGCTCTGTGATCAGGTGACGTTGACATGTGCACTTCAGGCCCTACTCTAAACTTTTAAACCATATACTGATTATATACTGATCAGTGCACACTAAAAGTGGCACACACAAAAAGTGCAGCTAACCAATCACATCTACATGCAGAGAGCAAAGAAAGCACTTTCTCTTACGTATGCAGAGCAAATTCATATTTAGTAAATCCAAATCATTTGCAAACGTGTATCGACTCACCAACAGCTCGTTCCGCTTTTTATATCTTATTTTCTCGTTCACTCCTCTTCTTCAGGTTGATGTATTTGTGTGGAGGCTTTAAAAGCTCTAGGCCAGTGTGTGTATGATCGTGATCTGAAACTCTAAGCTACGTGGCTCTTTCACACGTGAATATTACACCAGTTTACAGTCTCAACCCTCAACCACTCGTTTTTTTCTGCGTCTGAAAACGTCCGGGGGTCGAGACAGGTCGCGATCGTCCAAATCAAACTTTTCCCCGCGAGTGTTGTTAGTTTTCACGGCCACCTCCATCCATACCGAGCACAGGCTCTTCAAGCGTCTGGATAATCGCCATCATTTTCCGCTCAAGAATGTACACACACACACGCGTCACTGCGCATGCGTATCACAGCCGTTTCCCTTTTCTGTCTTTAGTTATGCAATATTTGTTTTTCAGACGTGTTGTTGACAGTACAATGGTTGTACAATGGTGCAATCGAAGCAAAAACGGACCTAAAGGCTGCATAACGTTTAAAATCGCTATCAATTTATTTTAACTATAGCCTACAATACCCTGTTATAGGTCTACATATTAAAACTGTTTGTCATTGCATTAGAAAATGACTTGAAATTCAATTTTCACATGTCCGATTACCTGAAAATGTCTTAACTGTGAGAGGTTTCAGTGTTCCTCATTGGAACCGACAGAGGGCGTGTAGCCCCTCCCACAGGCGGAGCCCGCAAGGTTAGTTTGTAAACACCCCTGCGCTGTAAAAAAGAAGTGTAATTTTAACTGTAACATTTTGTAAAAACGCTACGGGAAAAAAAAAGTTAATATGTTAACAGTAAGTCCCCGTACTATATACAGGGGAAAACTGTAAAATATCTAACCAGACATTTCAAGTAAGTTTACAGTAAAATGCTGCTCATTTTACAGTTTTTAGAAGTAAAAATAACAAATCAATGTATAATGTACAGTCAAAAACTGTAAACTGATATTCCCAGAATTCCCTGCATGGCACTCCACTGACCGTTTTGTCCGTAAATGTGTTTACAGTTTTTTTGTATTTTTTACAAAATTATTCTGGCAACCATAGCTGCCAAAATTATTTTGTAAAAACTACAGAATTCTTTTTTACAGTGTGGATCCAAACAGGCCTCTGTTTAAATATAAACATATATATATATATATAGAGAGAGAGAGAGAGAGAGAGTGAGAGAGAGAGAGAGATAGATAGATAGATAGATAGATAGATAGATACCACCTGCATTATTATGGTGGTTGTCAGTATGTTAAAGGTACAAAACAGATTTTAATAGCAGTGTGCATTGTTGAATTTACTGGTTTACATTCAAAAGTACATGTTTGTAAATTACAGTTTTATACTGTAAAATTGACCGTTTTGTCCGTAAATGTGTTTACAGTTTTTTTGTATTTTTTACAAAATTATTCTGGCAACCATAGCTGCCAAAATTATTTTGTAAAATTGTAAAAACTATTTTTTACAGTGTGGATCCAAACAGGCCTCTGTTTAAATATAAACATATATATATATATAGAGAGAGAGAGAGAGAGAGAGAGAGAGAGAGAGAGAGAGAGAGAGAGAGAGATAGATAGATAGATAGATAGATAGATAGATAGATAGATAGATAGATAGATAGATAGATAGATAGATAGATAGATAGATAGATAAATATAAATATAAATATATAAACAAATATAAACATAGTCTATGAGGTCCCATAGGACGGGAGCGGGGTAGCTTTTGTGTGGAAACAGCTCGTCCCATAATAAAATGACTGCAATTGGGGGCTAATTTCTGCTTGCCATAAGAAATGAATTGTGGTGTGAGCTAAATTTGGAGTTGTATAAGAGAAGTCACTGACCTTTTGCCACCTAAAGTTTAATTTTAGGGTATCATCTACTCATTTCTATTGGGTCCGCACATGGTTACTGACTGTAACTTTTTATTTAAGAAACAGAAATTAGATTTCACATGTAACAAAACAAGAGCAAACACACACAAAGGCAAAGCAGACTATGCATGATTAAAATGCATGAAAGTAAAATAAATAGCCTACAATTATAAATGTGATTTTAAAATTATAAAAAATAAAAAAATAAAGACATAAAGACATTCGAACTGTCAAATCACACTTTTTTGTCATTACAGAAGTCCTGAATTTGGAATTGACATTTTGGTTGTTTTTATTGTCATTACAGCGCCCTCCAATATTCGAATCTAACACGTTTGTACGTCACACATGCCTGAACGATTGAATTGGTCGTTATTAGACAGGAGGACAAGCAAGCACACAATGGCAAACATAAGCAAAGTAAACAAATGGATTAATAAAATAAATGAAAGTAAAATAATACAATTATAAATATGATAAAATGACAACAATAAATTAATAAACTAATATGTAAAACAAAATGAAAACATTGATAGGAAGAAGAAAGCAAACCAAACATTTTACCTACACTTTTACCAGCACTCACACATATCAATAAGACATCTCTTCTCACAGGCATTTTCCCCACCGCATTCAAGCAGGCTCACACCGACTGCTTAAAAAAAACTACATCTTTCTCCTACCATTCATATTTCACACTTGAACAAATTGTTTTCAACCAGGTATCATTATTTCTTTCACAGAATAACCAACTGGACATTAACCAAGCAGGTTTAAGAAGTGGCCATTCAACTGATACTGCGTTATGGATTGCAAAAGCTAATTTTGAAACATCAGTTCTCATTCTGCTGAATCTATCTGCCACCTTTGATACTGTGAATCATCAGATTCTTTTGTCCACCCTCTCATCACTGGGCATTACAGGAACTCCACTTTGCTGGTTTGAATCTTATCTATCAGGGAGGTGTAGAGCACATCAGCTGGTCACAGGGGTTCCTCAGGGATCAGTTCTTGGACCCCTCCTCTTCTTCATATACACTACATCACTGGGACCCATCATACAAGCACATGGTTTCTCCTACCTTTGCTGTGCTGATGACAGCTCTATCTTCATTTCAACCTGATGATCCAACGGTAGCTGCAAGGATCTCAGGCTGCATGGTAAACATCTCGGCATGGATGAAAGAATATCACCTGCAGCTCAACCTGGCAAAGATTGAACTTCTCGTCTTTCCTGCCACTCTAACTCGACAGCATGAGTTCACCATCCAGCTAGGTTCATCAACAATGATCTGTGCAGTCAGAAATTATCAAGTGCAGTCAGAAATCTTGGCGTGATCTTTGATGACCAGCTGACCTTCAAAGACCACATTGCAAAAACTCATTCAGGTTTATATTGCACAACATCAGAAAGATCAGGCCCATAACGTAGCATGCTGCACAACTTCTTGTCCAGGCCCTTGTCATTTATAGGATGGACTACTGCAATGCTCTTCTGGCTGGACTTCCATCATGTGCAATCAAACCTACAAATGATTCAGAATGCAGCATCACAACTGGTCTTCAACGAGCCCAAAAGGGCCCACGTCACACCTTACCTTATCTCCATGCACTGGCTACCAGTTGTGGCTCGCATCAAGTACATAGCATTGATGCTTGCGTATAGAACAGCCACAGGATCAGCACCCTCCTACTTCCACTCACTGTTACGAGTCTACATCCCCTTCATAAGCCTGAGATACAACAAGTGAGCTATGGTAATTTATGGTAGGTTCTACCATTTGTTAAACCAGGAAAAGACTCGAGCAATCCAGGAAATTATAGGCCTATAGCTTTAACATCGCATCTAGGAAAGCTAATGGAAAAATTAATAGTTTCTCGATTCAATTATTTCTTAGAAAATAAAAGATTACTTTGAGAATACCAAACTGGTTTTAGGAAACGGAAATCTACTACTGATGCATTGGTTAAATTAAGCAATGAGATTGAGAAAACTCTAGTTATGAAAGAGATAATGGTAGCTGTGTTTTTGGATATAGAAAAAGCATATGATACCATGTGGAGGGAAGGATTACCAATTGGGGATTGGTGGGAAAATGTATAACTATATATTCGATTTTCTTTCTCAACGTGTTTTTAGTGTTAGAGTAGGTGAAGAAAACTCGGAAGAATTCACAGTAGAAAATGGAATTCCACAAGGAAGTGTGTTTAGCCCAGTCCTGTTTAATCTGATGATTAATGACATATTTGAAAAGTTATGCTGGTCCTTTGCTGGTTTATGCTGGTCCTTTTGCTGGTTTATGCTGGTCCTTTGCCAGCACATAACCAGCATAAACCAGCAAAGGACCAGCATAAACCAGCAAAGGACCAGCATAAACCAGCAAAGGACCAGCATAAACCAGCAAAGGACCAGCATAAACCAGCAAAGGACCAGCATAAACCAGCAAAGGACCAGCAAAGGACCAACTTAAACCAGCATCCCAGCGTCAAAACATACCTAACCAGCATATGCTGTTTTTTTCAACAGGGTAGGAAAAGGAAATGAAGGAATATTATATGCAGATGATGCTGTTATATGGAAAAGAGGTCAGAATATTCCATGTATAGTGATGAACATGCAAAAGGAAATTCAAATCCTAGAATATTGGTTTAAATTTTCTGTACAGAAATCTAATGTAATGTTTTTTACTATAGGAAAATCAATGAAAACTACAAATTATGTCTTTATAGTCAGCCACTTGAAAGAGTTATAAAGTTGAAATATTTAGGAGTTTGGTTTGATGAAAAACATACATGGAAATACCATATTAATCATGTCGAAAGAAAATGTAAAAAAAGCCCTGAACTTGATGAGGATGATTACTGGACACAGTTGGGGAGCAGATAAACTTTAATGAATATTGTTAAAGCTTTGATAAGAGCAAATATTGACTATGGAAGTATTGTATATAACACAATATGCAAAACTAGATTAGGAAAACTCAACAGAATCCAATATAGTGCATTAAGAATTGCAATAGGAGCCATGAGAACAACACCACGGGTGCTTTATTAGTAGAAACAGAAGAAGTCCCACTAAATCTAAGATTCATTAAACTGTCGCTAACATATTGGGTTAGACTAATAAGCAGTAATAGCAATCCAGCTGCATCTGATTGTTGGGAATATCATAAAAAATCCAAAGGTTTTGGTTGGAATATAAATAGTAATACAGCAGAACCATTTGGAATTAAAGAATTTGTGTTTAGCCCTGCAGTAGCTTTAAGTGAAGTTCCTCCCTGGATGCTCCCTATTTCAGACACCAATACAGAATTACTAAAAGAGAAAAGAGAATACCAAAATGATCAAAGCTTTGCTAAATATGGCCAAATATATTTGTCTTCATTATATTACGGATATATTAAAATATTTACAGATGGGTCAAAAAACAAAAATGGTCATTGTGGCATAGGAATTTATATTCC